ATGCTGGCGGGCACCTGTAGTCCCAGCTACTCAGGAGGCTGAGGCAGGAGAATGGTGTGAACCCGGGAGGCGGAGGTTGCAGTAAGCCAAGACCGCGCACTGCACTCCAGCCTGGGTGACATAGTGAGACTCTGTCTGAAAAACAAAGAAAAAAAAAAAGTGTATTTAAAGAGTAAATGTCTATTAAGTTCAACAGAGCTTAAAAAAAAAAAAAGGAGTAAATGCCTAGCAATAGAATAATTAGATCAGGGCTGGGCACGGTGGCTCACGCCTGTAATCCCACCACTTTGGGAGGCTGAGCTGGGTGGATCACGAGGTCAGGAGTTTGAGACCAGCTTGACCAATATGATGAAACTCCATTGCTACTAAAAATACAAAAATTAGCCGGTCGTGATGGTGCATGCCTGTAGTTCCAGCTACTCGGGAGGCCAAGGCAGAAGAATCGCTTGAACTCGGGAGGCGGAGGCTGCAGTGAGCCGAGATTGCACCACTGTACTCCAACACTCCAGCCTGGACAACAGAACGAGACTCCATCTCAAAAAACAAACAATAACTGGATCAAAGAATGTTACATTCATTTACATTCTGGTAGTGCTAAACTGCCTTCTAGAAACATTACATCAATTTATGTTCCCACCAGCAATATAGGAGTGCCGTTTTTTTATTTTTATTCTTGCCAATAATGGGTTATAAATGTTTCAACATTTGCTAACCTGACAGGTGAAAAATCACCTCTTTTAGATTTCTGTATTTTTATTTGGAAATACTGCTGAAACTGTTTTTATAGTTTTGGCCACTCATTTTTTGTAAGCAATTTTACACCCTTTGTCCATTTCCTACTGTCTTTTTCTTATTTCTATTATTTCTCTGTGTAGTAAGCAAATCAGTCATTTGTTACAGTTTCCAGTATCAAGTCTTATTTAGAAAGTCCTTTCTGCTCGAAAGTTTATAAATTTCACCTCTGCTTTATGGTTTCTTTTTCTACACTTCTTGGATCCATCTGGAATTTGTTCTGGATGTGAGGATTGAGATAGAATTCTTTTTTTTAAATCCCTGAATAATTAGGCAATGGTTATAGTTCCATTTATTTTATAATTTCTCTTTGCCGCACTGATTTTAAACAACATCTTTATCAGAAACTAAAAATTTCCATACATAATTGGGTCGACATATAAACTCTACTCTGTTTAATTCTTCTTATTTATTTAATTTTTTTTTCCTCTAGTATCAAACTGTTTCAACTATTTCAGCTTTTTAACAGGTTTTAAGATCTGGGAGAACTACAAACCCTCTACCACTTATCTTCATTTTCAAGTTGTTCTTCTTGGTTGTTCTTGTATGTCTATGATTCCAAATGAACTTTGGTATCATTCTGTCATTTGTTTTTAACTAAACAAACAACAAAACAACCCTGCTGTTTCCACTGGGATGCCATGCAATTCAGACGAAAGTCTTCCCATCCGAAAACGGACTGATTCTTTCCTTTACTTAAATCTTGTTCTATGTCCCTCAGTAGAATTTTGCACATACAAGTCCTACACATTTCTTATTTAATTCATACATAAATACTTTATAGTTTCTTCCATTATATTTTCTAACAGGTTATCATTTATTTCCTATCATAATAGGAAAACTATTTGCTTTTATTCATTTTATTTTATTTTTATTTTTTATTTTTTTTATTTTAATTTATTTATTATTATTATACTTTAAGTTGTAGGGTACATGTGCATAACGTGCAGGTTTGTTACATATGTATACTTGTGCCATGTTGGTGTGCTGCACCCATCAACTCGTCAGCACCCATCAACTCGTCATTTACATCAGGTATAACTCCCAATGCAATCCTCCCCCCTCCCCCCCTCCCCATGATAGGCCCCGGTGTGTGATGTTCCCCTTCCTGAGTCCAGGTGATCTCATTGTTCAGTTCCCACCTTGTATTCATTTTATAATCTACCATCTTACTGAATTTAATTGTTTCTAACTTTTTATCAGGTAATTTTCCTGGGTATACTAGACATAAAATTTTATCCTGCTACCTCACAGAAATTTTGCCTCTTCCTTTCCAATATTTACAACTTTTTTTTTTTTTTTTGAGACAGTCTCACTCTGTTGCCCAGGCTGGAGTGCAGTGGCACAATCTCGGCTCACTGCAACCTCCACCTCCCGGGTTTAAGGGTTCAAGCTATTCTCCTGCCTCAGCCTCCCAAGTAGCTGGGATAACAGGTACCCACCACCATGCCCCGCTAATTTTTGTATTTTTAGTAGAGAAGGGGTTTCACCCTGTTGGCTAGGCTAGTCTCCAACTCCGGATCTCAAATGATCCACCCACCTCAGACTTCCAAAGTGCTGGGATAAGAGGCGTGAGCCACCATGCCCAGCCTACATTTCATTTCTTTTTACTGTCTAATTACACCATCAAGAACTTCAAAAACAATGTTATGCATTTGTAGCGATCATGGGTATCCTTGTGTTGTTTTATTTAATGGGAATGTTTTTATTGCCCGGCTTATTTTTGTACTTTAGTAGAGACAGGGTTTTGCCATGTTGGCCAGGCTGGTCTCCAACTCCTGACCTCAGGTGATCCACCCACCTCATGCCTCCCAAAGTGCTGGGATTACAGGCATGAGCCACCGCGTCTGGCCATCTATTCCTACTTTTAAAAACAGTTTTTAAAAGTAGAAATAGTTGCTGACTTTTCACAGTATTAAAAATATTTGTGGCTGGGTACAGCAGCTCATGCCTGTAATTCTAGTACTTTGGAAGGCCGAGGTGGGTAGACTGCCCACACATAGGAGTTAAGAGAACAGCCTGGGCAACATAGTAAAAACCTGTGAACACAGGAGTTAGAGACCAGCCTGAGCAACACGGCAAGGACCTGTCTCTGCTAAAAAACTTTTAAAAAATTGACCAGGTGTGGTGGCATGTGCTTGTGGTCCCAGATGCTCGGGAGGCTGAGGTAGGAGGATTGTTTGAGCTTGGGAGGTTGAGGCTGCAGTGAGCTGTGACTGCACTACTGCACTCCAGCCTGGGTGACAGAGAGACCCTATCTCGAAAAAAAAAAAATTGCCTTCCTATTTGTACTACTATATTTTTAACATATCCTCCATTTAAATCTTTAAGAGTTTAGTTTTATTGGTGCATAAACATTTATTGTTTTCTCAAACAATATACTAAGTATAGTAAATTAGTCCCCCTCCATATCATCATGAAAGCACACTCTAACCCACAATGTTACTGTCTATACATGACCATTGACTAGTTCACGGTTACAGCTAGTTAGCTAGGTCTCCAAGAAAGGAAGTATATTACCCAGTGATGAATATTAGTCAACTTCGCCAGGAAATAGCAAGAGCTATTAGATATTTTCAGAATTTTATAATGGTGACCAAAAAAAAAAAAAAAGTAAAACAAGTCCCTCTAGCATGGCATTTATTTTCTCAGATGTTTCTCTTTGTCATTTTAAATACATGTGCACATATCCAATGCAGGGATTAAAAAAAAAAAAACCCGAACTCCTGTGATAATGAAAATGTCTCGAGCCCAATATATTACCTGCAATATGTCTCTATGCCGCTGTAATGTATGCATCAGGGCCGCATTCAAGGAGGGGACACCTGCACTGTTGGTATATTCTGCCATTTTATCGTTTACCCCTGTAAGCTAGAAATAAAGAAAAATAAAAATAAAAATATTTTACTAAGCACTATAAACAGCTAAAAGCAAATTATTTGCCTATATGCCCTTTTGGTTGACAGCAAAACAAAACAAAACAAAAAACAAACAAGATATCAAGTAAGAATTAAGCATTCCCCCACATAATCCATAAAGACCAAAATAACATCATATCACCTGAGAATGGCTGTCATCAAAATTCAAGTGGTGTGGGGAGGTACACATCTTGAATGGAATGGATAATTTCATTAAACATGTCTGTCTCAATACAATCCAGGATCCTATCTAACAAGTATACAGTTATTTGCAAAACAGCCATTTAACAAAGAACTTACCCTTGCCAAAAGTTGTTCAATCTCAATCGCCATTGTCTCAAACATTCTGTCTTGGCTTGATCCATTTAAAAGGGGTGTTGTATCAGAACTAAAAAGAAGTTCAGTTAAAGAGGATCCATTACTCAAATGCACTCCTTTAAAACATACTTAAAATAATAAGGTAATTAATATGAACCATAAAATGAATTATGGATTATGTTATATAGGGTCTGTGAGAAACAATCTTTTACATTTTTACCCCAAAGGAATTATGGTTCCTTCAACCTCAACATTAAGTTCTCTCTTCTTTCCTTGACTCTTACCAAGAGGAAATAAGATTGAGGTTTAAATGATCCACAGATTGGATAACTAGCTAACGAATACTCAGGAACTGGCTTTACATTCAATATATATAGCCACCTGCATACTTTGGTACTAATCTTCTACATTTCCACTTACAGTATGCAATCATCTTTTTGTTTCGTAGAATTGTGTTAAATTGCCTTTTCAAATCTGAACGGTCAAAAATCTACCTTTTTATAAGTGAAACTTATGTTTGACAGATTCAAATTCTAAACCCACCTGTCCTGAGTGTTTCTTTTGCCTTTTCTAAAACACCACTAACTTTCATCAGGTTAGGTATGTATTAGCATCCAATGAGCAGCTCAATATAGATCGGAGTTATACCGGACACAGATAAATGCCCAGGCAATGACTATGCGCTCCAATCTTACCGAAGACTTTGTCCTACACTGTGACAGTGCCTGGGTGTGGCAAATGAAAAAGATTAAAAAATGCTCTGTAGACTACTAATATAAATCCTCCTCTACCAGATATATGAAAAAGAACAATATGCCAACAGAATTAAAGCTTCACGAAGGGAGGAAAAAACTGCTCTATCTTATTCATTGATATATGCCTAGCACCTAGTATAGAGCCAGGCACATAGTAGATGCTCATTAAATGTTTGTTGAATGAATGAATGAGAGAGCAATCTCTACTACTGGTTATTCCATACTCCTTATATTCATATATTCATCAGGACAGTGTAAGACTAAAGGGAAATGGCCAAAAACTAATTCTTCACAATACTAGGATTCAGTTAAATTTAATTCATCTTATAGGTGGGTAATGAATGATTCATAGACCTTGAAGTTTTCAAAATACAGAAAGTTAAAAAAAAAAAAAGAAAGAAAGAAAGAAAGATTCCTGGAATAAATAATATTCTAGTTATTGCTTAGTTGACTCATTGTGACATGCTTCCAACCTGGGCATCAAACAAGACACTTTAGAATACACATCAAATCTTGATCCTCATGGCCTTAGATTTTTATTTAAAAGGGTAGTTAGGCTGAAGTAATTCTACAAAGCCA